AGGAAAAACATCATGTCGTTTCATGCTTGACTATATAGTGTTGATTTGGTAGTAAGTGATACACTCTAGTTTGACTAACAATGAAATAAAATTTGTCACCATTGTCCTTAGTGATACACTGCATTGTCCTTAATGATACATTGTATAGCCCAAATATTTAGCAATTGAAGTTATCAATCTCCATTGACAATATTACCAAATCTAGTGTTTGAAATGTTTTGTACGTTAGGTCTTTTTCCTTGCACGATTCACAACCGTGATTTAGAATCACGGGCATGAATTATAATCATCGACCGTTTGTGTTTGACATTCTGGAACCAGAACGGCCTATTCTGGTTCTAGAACGTGTCGTTCTAGTTCCAGATGTATTAAAAAAATTTGACATCCATCTATGCATCCACCTGACATCCAGTTAATTTTATTTAAATAATTTGGACGGAAGTTCGACATTGCACTAATTTAAATTATTAGAGACTAAATTGAAATCAAAAATTAAAATGAGACTAAATTAAAATATAAAAAAATATTATAAGAGATCAAATTAAGTTTTTAACCAAAAGAATATTAGTAGTGTGGTATTTGAGGGGAGTATGGTAAATTTGTCCGGACAATAGCGTACTTTCTTGAAGCCATAGATATTTCTTGTGGGACAGAGTCGATGTCATCAACTTTTTTTATAAATATCCTCTCATCGTGAATGGTAATGAATGATCAAACCAAAATCCTTTAGCTGCACTCAGTCTGCCTTAAACACTTTTGTGTTGTATGGTTACACTCTGGTTGTGATACATCTAAAAAGCCACTAGTTCATATTATCAGCTTAGTCTCCACATGTAAATGGCCTAAATAAGCAGCTTCGTGTTCATGCAGAAGAGGATATATATATACACATCACTTTAGCTAAAAGGGAAAGGGAAATTCAAAAAAGGATAAACTTAAATTTATGTATCCTTGTTATCAAGTTTTGTAATTAAAAAACACGGTTAGTCCATTAAATGTGTTGAAAAATTTAAACGAACATCTGCATGGCAGTTTTTTTTTCCTTCCAAGAAACCTGCAAGGAAAATGCTGAAATACCTATATTAAAAAATAAAATTTCAACAATAAAATCTTCAATACACTTCTAAGTTCCAACACATTTTACTATTAATTAAAATTTATGAAGTTACAAAATCAAGACTCTCACTAAATAAGAAGTGAAGCTCCCACTGGTTTATAATTTTCAATGATTTTTGGTCAATACAAAGGAGTGTGTTAGTAGAGTTTGACATACATTATTCCTTTGTATTAGTTGATATCAGAATATTGGATTTCAAATTGTATATTCCAATCAGTATGAATATACATATATAATTGAAGTTAAGCTAAAATAGGAAACAAGACTAAAATTAAGGTATTCCTATAATAATATAATCAAATCATTCCTAACTTAATTAGAAGGCTATAATCAAGATATTTCTATAATGACATAATAAGCAATAATCAAAAACCCAAATTCATTACGGCACTAACGACCGGGAAAAACACCAAAGGGCACTATCGGCCCACTTATACAAAAAGCAAAAAAAAATAAAATCAAAAGAGCGCTAACTTAATTAGAAGGCTATAATCAAGATATTTCTATAATGACATAATCAAACCATTCCTAACATAATCAGAATATTCCTCCTAATATTCTGCTAACACCCTCACTCAAACTCTAGTTGGAATACGGAAGTTCGACATTGCACTAATTTAAATTATTAGAGACTAAATTGAAATCAAAAATTAAAATGAGACTAAATTAAAATATAAAAAAATATTATAAGAGATCAAATTAAGTTTTTAACCAAAAGAATATTAGTAGTGTGGTATTTGAGGGGAGTATGGTAAATTTGTCCGGACAATAGCGTACTTTCTTGAAGCCATAGATATTTCTTGTGGGACAGAGTCGATGTCATCAACTTTTTTTATAAATATCCTCTCATCGTGAATGGTAATGAATGATCAAACCAAAATCCTTTAGCTGCACTCAGTCTGCCTTAAACACTTTTGTGTTGTATGGTTACACTCTGGTTGTGATACATCTAAAAAGCCACTAGTTCATATTATCAGCTTAGTCTCCACATGTAAATGGCCTAAATAAGCAGCTTCGTGTTCATGCAGAAGAGGATATATATATACACATCACTTTAGCTAAAAGGGAAAGGGAAATTCAAAAAAGGATAAACTTAAATTTATGTATCCTTGTTATCAAGTTTTGTAATTAAAAAACACGGTTAGTCCATTAAATGTGTTGAAAAATTTAAACGAACATCTGCATGGCAGTTTTTTTTTCCTTCCAAGAAACCTGCAAGGAAAATGCTGAAATACCTATATTAAAAAATAAAATTTCAACAATAAAATCTTCAATACACTTCTAAGTTCCAACACATTTTACTATTAATTAAAATTTATGAAGTTACAAAATCAAGACTCTCACTAAATAAGAAGTGAAGCTCCCACTGGTTTATAATTTTCAATGATTTTTGGTCAATACAAAGGAGTGTGTTAGTAGAGTTTGACATACATTATTCCTTTGTATTAGTTGATATCAGAATATTGGATTTCAAATTGTATATTCCAATCAGTATGAATATACATATATAATTGAAGTTAAGCTAAAATAGGAAACAAGACTAAAATTAAGGTATTCCTATAATAATATAATCAAATCATTCCTAACTTAATTAGAAGGCTATAATCAAGATATTTCTATAATGACATAATCAAACCATTCCTAACATAATCAGAATATTCCTCCTAATATTCTGCTAACACCCTCACTCAAACTCTAGTTGGAATGATGGATGCCAACTTGAGTTTGCTCAAGAGATCTTTGAAGCAAGTAGGTTGATGTGTTTTGGTGAAGACATCAGCAGCCTGGTCAACCGATGGAACAGAGATCACATTGATAACATGATGTCGCACAAGGTGACAATCAATTTCAATATATTTTGTGCGCTCATGAAAGATGTCATGGTGAGAAATCTAGATAGCACTTTTATTGTCACAATGAAGCTTAATGGAGGAAGGATGTGCAACATGTTAATAACCATCGTAACCAAAATAATTGAGAAGTAGCATCAGCAAGAGCACGGTATTCAGATTCTATGCATAAGCGAGAAACAACTGTTTGCTTCTTGCTACGCCAAGAAATAAGTGAATTTCCCAAAAAAAAACCTTAACCCGATACAGAACAACGATCGTCGTTCTGCCTGCCCAATCAGCATCAGAATATCCAAACAGGAGCATAGATGAATTAGCAGAGAAGTGTAAGCCATGGAAAATGGTTCCTTTAATATAACGGAGAATTCGAAGAACTGAAAAAAAATGTGATGATTGAGGAGTAGACATAAATTGATTGACTACATGAACAACATATGCAATGTCAGGGCGAGTTACAGTGAGATAAACAAGACTACCAACAAGTTACTAATACAAAGTGGCATCTTCAAGAGGAATGCCATCAAGAGGTGTAAGTGGATGATCATCTGAAGCTACAGCCGACGAAGAATCACCACTACGCGACCGTTCAGACCCAGAAAAGGATCCCGTATTATCACCATTTGAAGCCGAGGCCGAGGCAACATCTCGGTCCGGCGTCACTCTCACCCTAGATCCCCCTTCGCCCCTAGAGGAGTCAACATGAACAACATCTATATTAGCCATGACGTACCTGAGTTTTGAACTTGACCTATCGCTGTGGAGTGCTCAACTGCAGACGATCTCGGCTCAGAGTAACTGATAAGTGTCTTTGGGGACCACCCCTCATACACCTATTTATAGGAGTTTCTCGTAAGTATCTGAAGAGACGCCCCCCTGTGCACCGTTGGATCATTTCGATCCGACGGTCTGCGATGCACAACCCCTCTCATGCGTCATTAATACCTAACGGTTATAACCTTTGGTATTATCACAGCGGCTACAATTGTTTCCCGCCATAACTCCTCGCATGCGCCCGGTGCCCAACGGTTACAACCCTTCGTTTCCCACCAATGATTGTAACCCTTGGCCTACCCTCCAAAACAGCAACCAAAGTACACTATTTCCCTTCACATTTATCCTTTACGTTGCTTCACTCCTCAAGGCTGGGGGGCTTGTGTACCGGGAGGACCCTATCGGGCACGTTGACCAACACGTGCCGTTCCGTCAGACACCCATGCGAACTGGACCATACCCAAGGTTGACGTTAGCATCGGCCCAGCTGAAGGTCGATGCAAACGGCATGATGCATCCCCCGCATCTTACGTATCGGCTCGGCCAAATGCCGATCCGATAGGATTACCAAATAAACGTTTACCGACCCGGTCAACAATCGAAGACATGCAACCTCCCAAGCATTAGCCTGTCGGCTCGGCAATGTGCCGATAGGTTAAGCGGATTATAGTACAAATCATAGTTAACAAGGACAAGTGCCTAATTAAGACATGATTAGCTGATTAGCATCGTATTACCTAATTTGGTAAAGATTAGAATAGGCCCACCACGTTCAGGCCCATGTCAGGTATTATAAATAGGTCACACGCAACGAGGTACGTCACTGTTCATTAATTATCTTAGAATATCGTGCTTGTCCTGACTTGAGCGTCGGAGTACCTTTTGCAGGTACCTCCCCCCTCTGACGAATCCGTTTGAAGTATCCATTCGGCCCTTCTTACCAAGAAGACTACGAGTGTATCCTTGAGCAGGTACAGATAACATATAGTTAGGCATGAGCTAGAGTGTTTAGATCCATAAATAAACACATTATAGTCCTGTTTGATTGGGATTGTGAATCAAAAGAATGGTGAATTAAAATGACGGTTCGATAAAGTAATGTTAATAAACTTCATTTGTATAAACTTATAACTTGAGGCTACTTAATAATAGATCTACAATTCTACCCGAATTCAAAACAAAATGGACGCTATACATCATATGATTCCAATCGAAAGTAAAAGTGGACACAACATCCACTTTCCAACATGAAGCAGGGAAAAGATTTTAATGCGTATGAGCATTTTCTTTATTCATAAAAGTTCAAGGGATTGTAATTAGTGGATGCCTACCAATGATATCAAGAAGGAATGGAATTCAAGAACATTTCATTGACGCAGCTTGTTCTACCAACTAGACCAACCCTCGTTGGCGTGTATAAACAAAATACTGTATAATATACATATAAATACATTCTGGTTACTTGAATGAATTGAAAAAGCTGACTGTGTCAGTGAGGGCATTGATAAAGTTGTCCACATCCTCCTTTGTGTTGTAGAAATACAGACTTGCGCGTGCACTTGAGCTCACTCCTAAATAGCGATGGAGAGGTTGGGCACAATGGTGACCTGATCTGATAGCTACTCCATGCTGAAATGATACACTATCATTTAATTACAGATCAAGAAAGGAAACTTTCCAAACATGTTCAACAACTATCCCAAATTCTTCCACAAAATTACCTTCTGACAATTGATTTACATAGAATAATAACAAGGAAATGCAAATTCTTTTATCATCTTACCTGTTGGTCCAGAAATGTTGCAAGATCAGTAGGGTGCAAATTCTCAACATTGAAAGAACAAAGGGCAGCTCGTTGGACTTTTTCTGAAGGCGCTGGCCCATAGATGCGAATATTTGGCACTGAAAGAAGCCTTTCGTAAAGATATCTACCCAGCTCCACCTATGAAAATTGATGTTTAGAAACTTATTGTTCACAGAATAAGAATATAATTTATCTCACTATAATGAAAAAACATAAGTTTTATGATGAGCAAAGAAAAATGTTGACCTCTGCCATTAGTTTCTATCACTACGGACAATCATGAAATAAATAGAAGAAATTTTTTGCTCGAAATAAAGTAAGTTAGCTTGGCTCCTTGGGTCATAGGTGATCAAAATTAATTCAATGAATATTCCAGGTTGAAGATCAGTAATTTAGTTTGTGATTTTGATTGTTTTGATGATATTGAAAGATAGAGGGATAAGCATTGCTTTGAATATGATCTAATTATATTAAGACATCAAATAATAAAAATTATGATAATGAAAAAAAAATGTATTTGAAGAAGTAAAAGAATCAGGATGACAAAAAAAAAAGAAGAAATTCTGGGTCAAGTTGAGGGATGCTTTTAATTTTTGCTTTTGCATCTTATTTTGTTACTCATCTGCTGATCAAGTTAAACATGATTAGTACATTGAAGTCCAATCTCTGGTTATTATAGGTTTCAAGGTTTGGGTAGTTAGTTACATTATTGAGTTGGTTAGTTAGGTATGATAGTTTGAATAAGGCATGTTGCATATGAATAAGAGAGGGGAAGGAGAGAGGTCGTTTTGGTTGAGAGAACTGGGGCCTTTGGGCATTTGGAGGAGCAAACCCTTTAAGTTTTGCGGTGTTTCTATCCTTGTAATTGGGGCTTACCCCTAATTCTTCTAAATAAGCTACAAGGTTTCTATCAGAATATAAGGAGAGTGATAAGGTAGTGGGAAGAACAGATTCTTTCTGCATTGTTTCTTTCTTTTTTTCTATTATTTTTCTTTTATTGAGTACATCTTTTCCTTTTTTCTCTCCAGAATTTGTCATCCATACCAGTAGTAGAAGAGATTCAGTGTTGATATAAATAAAACAGAGCTATACTTCTGGTACCATGTCACAAACTTGTTAAATAAGGTGTCAACAAAATATTGGATGATGACATGGTGCAAAAGAGTTTTACATTGACAGCACATCAAAATTAAACTCCAAAATTTATGTATCATTGAATAATAGTAATGTTTGTTATAAGATTGAATCTCAACTCACCTCATAATCATGTATGGTTTGCATACCAATCCCAGATAAGTAATCAATTGCTGCTCCTAAACCAATTGCTTCCCCAATAGCTGGTGTTCCAGCCTCAAATCTAGGACAGTCAAAATACCTCAAATAATAAGATACGAGTAACTGATGGTATGCAACAATAGAAGAGAGAAACTATCACTAAATGGTTGAGGAAAATGACTAGACATGAGGCCAGACATTACTAATGGTTATATCTAAAGTTAGAAAGAAAACAAACAATCAGAGTACGAGTCCCGAGATAAGTGACAAAATCCGTTTCTACCACTAGACACAATTAATAACAATTACTTGAGTGGTTGACACAATCATTTTTCCAGTCAAAGAATTTTATGGGTTTCAAAACATCAATAGCCAACACCAAATCATGATAGTCAGCATGTGCAAGGCAGAATCAACTTTAGTAACTAGAAGCTAATGACACGAAGGATAAACTTATAGAAAGCACAGAGGAGAATATCATTAGACAACTCTAAAAAGACAATTTATATATCCATTTTCTTCTAAAGTATTTTTCTGTATATCCATTTTCAATTTTAATCCCATATGTTCGCCTGTTACTTTCTTTAAGTATTGCAAGAGACTCCAAAGCTTAGAGATATGTGATAATTTCCAGCTAATTTGCTAGTCAATTGAAAAACCAAGGTAAACATGGGAGTGATGGAGTGTACTGGCGAGTAAATTTTAAAGCCATAACAAGAGCAACTATTATTCATGCATTGGTGCAAAGTAGTACAGCCACTAATGCTCTTATATTTTCTTCTGAACATTGAGAATCAAACTTGAGATTTCTACCCAAGCCACCTTAGATTATCTATTAAGATAAGCCGAGCCTAATTTGAAGTAAGAACAAGTTCACAAACCTGGATGGAGGTTCAGCATAAGTTGAATGATCAAGATATACATCAGAAATCATTTCTCCACCTCCTAAAACAAGTAAAAGCAGAGGTTACCAGCAATGCATTAACTTCAAAAGAAAATCTTACAAACATGGTGCCAAACCAAACAGAACTTTTAGGGGCTGTTTAGTGTGAGAAAATGTTGCCTGCTTTTTATTTTCTGTTTTCATTTTTAATTACAAAAAATGCAGCCTTGTTTTTACTTTATTTTCTGTTTTCAAAAGTTTATATAGGAAAAAGTGAAAACAAAAAATAATAAGTTGTTTTCATTGTTTCCTACACAAAATTTTGAAAACAGAAAACAAAGTGAAAACAAGGTGGCATTTTTGTAATTGAAAATGGAAAAAGAAAATGCTTTCTCAAACCAAACAACCCCTTATTTTATTTTATTGCATTGTAGTTAGTAGTTCCTATTTGATGGGAAGATATAAGTAAAACATCTAGTAACTTACCTAAAAATGGAGGCATGGAAGACAAGAGGTCTATTTTACCATATAAGAATCCAATGCCTGTAGGCCCACACATCTGAAACACGTGTTTGATAACTAATTACTATTTTGTAATAGTTACAGTTAAAAAATATATAAACAATCCTACCTTGTGAGAAGAAGCAACAAGAAAATCTGCATTAAGGTTCTGGACATCAACCATCATGTGTGGAACGCTCTGACAAGCATCTACAAGAACTTTCGCCCCAACATCATGTGCCCATTGTGCAATATCTCTAATAGGAAGGACAGAAGCTACATAAAAAAGGGTACAAAATATATGAAATTTCATTAATTTCAGGTACAGATTTTAGAAGTGAGTAAAACGTTTTATCTTCGTAAATAAGAAAAAAAATTACAGATTAAAAAGGCAAAGAAAGAGCGCTTAATTGGGAGGATGCAGTGATAATTCATATATGTATTGTACTAAGTTCTAATGTTTTTAAGGTCATAGCAGGTCTCGTCTCAATAATATTCATGTGGTTTATTTGGACCAGACTGCGAATGGGACAGACTGCTCTTCCCAATCTGACGGGATTGATGCACAAGCACAAGCTCCATGTAAGCTGGATGTGAAATATGAAACCTCACTTTCTGGCATAAGCTTTCCTCTATATCAAATTGATAGTATTAATAAGAAACCTCCAACTGAGAATGTTAATGTTAGAAGGAAAAGAGGTATAAAAGGGAATTAAAACCCTGTGAATTGTAACAGAATAAATAATGGAAGTTTTATTAGTTAGGAGGACAAAATAAAAATAGGAATGGTAGTTAGAGGAACTGAGGAAGGGGCATTAGATTGGTCAGTTTATGTATCAAGAGGGTCCAGGTTCCTCGAATTACCTAGAGGATTTTTTTCTTTCTTTCATTTTTTTTCCCAATAAAGTCCCCTTATTTTCTTCCCCTTTAACCAGTTTGCGTCACAAATGCTTAAGGAGAAGTAGGCCTGAATATATTTTTACCCCAATATCTAATGATTTCTTTAATTTAAACTATTAAGAGCATGTTGGGATTCACATCAATTTTGATTGGATGTGGATTAGTGGAAGCAACAATTAGTTTAGTTTTTGCATCAATTTTGATGTGATTACTATCTAAATGTGGAACCAAACATGCACTAAGTAATGCCACTGGAGACCTGCTTTATAGGCCACATCATTAAAACTGCTTACACATAGAAGTTACGTTCATTCAATCTATACCCAATTTGTCAATCATTAATTAATTTTCAAAGGCAATACTAATAGAACCCAAATATCCACCACCCTGATTCTTAAGCAGCACCTTATTGCTAGCAAACTTCCATTACTTAATAATGCATAAGATATGCAGCATCTCTCCCCAAGTCACTTGAACGTTCATACAAAATATCCGAGTATGAGATACATAAAAAATTTAAGATCTACATAATTCTTAGAACAACAGCTACCAAAGCCATTTCCCACTAGGTGAGTCAGTTATGTGGACTAAATATTGTCATTATGTTTGGTCAAAAACCGATTCTTCAATTCATAGTGGCCAATTAAATATAAATCCTTTTTATAGCAGGAATTTCAGTTTCAGGCATTTTAGATTTATCCTTCAGTCATAAAAAAAATACCAAAAAATATAAAACTTTAATGCCTAAAAGGAATAATACACAAATTCACAATCAAATTAATATTGGAAAAGGAAAATAAGCATTTTATATAGAAATTCTTGATATCTACGAATAGTCTAACACTCTCCACAATATTAATCAAATTTCATGCCAAAATCACCGCCAATAGTTTCCTATCACTAATCCGTGATATAAACCTCGACCCTAATCTTTGAAACCTTAACTATCAGTTATCATGCCCTACTCGATTTTATATCAAAACCCAACCTTAATAATATGCTATATTTCAAGAACTTCAAATATCCACAAAGATTTCGTATAAGAATTTAATGTTGATTTACTGCTAGTGTGAAAAAGTTTTACACTGGCATACAATGATATGCTGCACATCATTAAAGGTGGGCAAACATTCAATGATCCAGTATTTCTGCCATTGAAATCTAGTGACCTTTTGTGATATAATGTGGGATTTTAGAAAGCTGCCAATAAAACAAAGAACATCAATGTTGAAAAACTACAAAAATAACCCAAGAGGAACATGATCTTCAACAGCATAAATTCAAGGTATCATTAAGTAAATTGGAATTATCAAGGTGAACAATCATGATGAGAAACATACCAAGCACGTTTGAAACATGATGGACAACAACTATTTTGGTCTTCCTTGAGAGCATTTCTTTCAATTTTTCTATATCTGGAATTTCATCTTGGTTTAAATCCACAAATTTCAAAACAGCCCCTACTTTTTGAGCTACTATTTGCCAAGGAACAATTGCACTGTGATGTTCAGCAACTGTAAGTATGATCTGAAATAACATAAAACTGAAGATTTTACAAGGACATAATTTGAAGATAATGGCAGTATAAATAAAAATCATTATTCTAAATGTAGAAAGATAGGATTAAGTGACTACAAAGAAGTCCACTGTCTCATGTTATTAAAATTTCTACTTGAAAATCGTAAGTGATAAATTAAACCTTAATACTCTCTCCAAGTTTTAAGAAGATACATAAAACAATCTCAAATTTAGACGAACAATTAAACGAATTGTCATTCATCAAAATATTAATCTACAATGAAATACCTCATCATCTGCTTTTAAATTTGACAACCCCCAAGAATAAGCAACAAGATTGATAGCTTCAGAAGCATTTTTTGTGAATACAATCTCTCTAGAATCAGAAGCATTTATAAAAGATGCAATTTTCCTTCTAGCCGATTCATATTCATCCGTGGCCTTTGCACTACATCCATAAACAATTATATAAGAAAAAGCATTTGGTTGTTTAAGCAATAATAGATATAAATCGTGTGTATTGACCTCCCAATAAATGCAGGGAGGAAGGAAATTAAAATAACGTGTCTCCAAATTGCCTATGTGATTCCAAAAATTACACAATAAGTACCTCAAGAAATGTATGCCCCGGTGCACATTTGAATTGTAAGCTTCATAATAATTTTGCAATGCCTTCAGTACAGCGGTGGGCTTCTGAGAAGTTGCTGCATTGTCTAAGTAAACAAGTTTTGAGCCATTTACTTCCTGTGGAGTGGATTAAAGTATCATAACTTCATAATATGTACCAGAACAACATATCAAATGTCAGATATACAAGTCGTGAATTCCAGATCAAATTTGCAAAGAGATGTCAAGGCAAAGCATTTTACTGTGAGTCAGGTATAATATGATATTAAGATATGAAGAATTGAGGATTAGATATATCATCTTTGACTTTGGTTTGGCAAAAAAGTTATACTACTTTATCCAATAAGCCAACATATAGCTCCAAAAGACGACCTCACATACACTAAAAGTTAGATTTATATTCTACAACACTTCTTGAGACATTGAGCAAAGATGAGGAGATGAATTAGAATCTCTTAACCTTTTATGAGCCTGTTTGGATAAATTTTTCCAAAAGCAGTTATAGAAAAATGACATTCGAAGGGAAAATGAAATTAACTTTTTCATAAATTAAAATTAATTTATGGATAAGTTAAAAATATAAGTTTTTCAAGAAATCAATATGAAAAAAGTTCAACAAATTAGCTTATGCAAAAGATAAATTTAACTCATGGAGAAGCTATTTTCATTTTTTTCCCATTTTCTTTTCTTTTGAGTGCTCCAAAAGAAATTCATCCAAACAAACCTTATAATTCAATCCCTATGGTGCACTTATCCTTCGAATGTTTAAGAGGGTCTACGCCTTGTCCATCCATTGAATAACATTAAATTCATAACACGGTAAACAAGTCAGAGAGTTCAATCCCTACTGTGACTGCTGCTGGCTCAACAAAAACTCATTAGGCCAGTAACAGTTACAATAATGGAAGCGGGATTAGTCTAATTCAGATACTCATGGCAAGACAAAAAGAAAACACATTTGCAAACACTCAAAGGCTGCATTTAGGAAAATAAAATTGAGGACAAGACAAGAAAATAGATACCTGGTGAAGTATAGGGAAACGAGGCCGGGTGGAGTGACCCAAAGAAGGGGAGTCAATAGTAGGTTCAGCTACAGCTTCATTGACAGCTGATGCACAAATAGAGAGAGAAGATATGCGACGGAACCCAAACCTGACATGAGATGAGCTCCTACTAGTGATCGAGCAGCAATGACTATGACTTGGAAATTTGAAAGAAGGAAGTTTTGGCAACAAAACTTCCATTACTAACCACATAAAAAGAAAAAACTGCAATTATGCAACAAAATAAAAAGGTTATAGTTACATATGTCACTGAATCAGAATTCCCTAAAAACAGGTAAAAGGTAATTATCCAACAAACATGGCACTAGACTAGAAAATTCAATTGAACCCAAGTCCAAAATTCACATTATAGGCATCCCCCAATCAAAAACATGTCAAGTGCAAACCATTTACGAAAATAATAAGGAACAACAATTACATAACATGGCACAAGGTTCCAGCCTAGAATGAAAAACTAAAGAACGTGAATTAATTAAAAAATTATAAGAAAATTGAAAACATCAACAGAAGGATACATACTATTTACTTCTCTGAGTCAACGTGTTTGAGAAGGGCAAAAGGCTCTCGCAGAAGTCACCGTTGTACTGAGTATGGGTGGCTGCGGTTCAGTTAGAATGAAGCAGAAGAGGAGAGGGTATCGAGTTCATCAGTAAAACTTGTATGAATGTGTACCCAATGTTGATGTTTCGCACAACCAATTAAAAAGTGACACCACATCAAAATTTAAAAGCATAAAAATAAGAAATAATTTCTCTGTTTTATCTTTTATTATTACCAACGCCTGGTGATTTCTTATTTTTGTCTATAATTATATATCACAAAAATAAAAATAAAAATGGGACACGTCATTTGTGTAAACAAAACAAAACCCTGGTTGAATGCGCCCCTATCTAGAAGGGCGAAGTGAAGGAGATGGAGTTAAGCACTTGGATTCTCCCTTCACGCTGTCGCCTTCCAGTTCTCCCCACACCCCATGCAGCTTCCCTCACAACCCCACTCCCCTTCCCTAAGTGCCCAACCATTTCCCAAGCGCCCAGAAGAGGATTGCGACCCTCACCCTGTGCGAGGCTCAGTCAAGCCAATTCCCCTCCCCAGGCGTTGGACCAGCACCGCATGAATGGAGTCTGCGACAAGCTGATTGGTGTCTTCATGGTCGACAAGCCCACCCCCACCGATTGGAGAACGTTGTTGGCTTTCAGCCGAGAGTGGAACAACCTCAGACCCCACTTCTTCGCCCGATGCCAGGACAGAGCCCTCGCTGAACACGACCCCGCCATGAAGGAGAACCTGCTACGCCTTGCCAGGAAGCTCAAACAGGTACTGCCTGCATCAATGTTACTTTCCAGATTGAGCTCATTTATGAAGATTGGACTTGTGCTTTTGCAGATTGATGAGGATGTGCAGAGACACAATGATCTCCTTCAGGTGGTGCGACAGGACCCTTCGGGAATTACTGAGATTGTCTCCAAGCGTCGTAAAGATTTTACGGAAGAATTCTTTGTTCACCTTCACACAGTGGCCGAATCTTACTATGATAATAAACATGAGCAAAATGGTTGGACTTCATTTCACTTGCTTTTAGTAGCCTAAGTTTATGTCTCGTATTAGTTTTCTCGATTTGGTATCCAATTTTGCTGAAATGTATCGTTGCTTTTTTTTTTGTATGGTAAATTGTCAAACCTTATCATGTTTGTTTAGTTCAGATTTCCTCTTTCTATGAGTATAACTAGATAGTGGTGTTTTTTTTAAGGTCATACATCAAGTTTATGGATTGCGTGGAGCTTAAAATATTAAAATTTGTAGAAGCAAAAAGTGCTTTTGAAATTGGAGTTTAATTTAAATAGGCCATGATTAAGAGGACATGAGGATATTTTATAGGTTAGGGTGGGAGGAATCCTGATTGTTACACCAATATCATGTTGTAGATATCACAACATGTTCAGAGATGTGTTACTTTCATGGGATAGTTCAAACTTGCCTTTTCTGATTAAGTTTCTGCTTTTTATGTGACAAGAATTGGCAAAGCTCGGGAATGCATGTTTGGCTGCTGTACAAGCCTACGATGCTGCAACTGAAAGCATTGAGCAGCTAAATGCTGCAGAGTTGAAATTCCAAGATATTATCAATTCTCCTTCACTTGATGCTGCCTGCAGGAAGATAGACAATTTGGCTGAAAAAAAAGAACTTGATTCAACATTGGTATTGATGATCACCAAAGCTTGGTCAGCTGCCAAGGAGTCAAACATGATGAAAGATGAGGTAAATTGATGGTGACCTCAGCAATTTTCTTTCAGCACATTTTTTTTAAATTTAAATCTCACAAATATGGAAGATAAAATTTCTGGACGATTATTAGTTATTACAACTTCAAACTAGCTTCTATAGGCTGCAATGCACATGTTCAGTGTGGGAGGAAAATCAAGTGGATAATTTAGGTAGTTTGTTGCTTTTACTTTTCTTTTCTAAATTCTAATAAAAAGATAACAAGTTGTTTGGAACAGTTCACCCATTTCCCTTTACTAGCACTTCATTATGACACTGTGCAACCTAATTTCCTTTCCATTTTTATTTTTTGAAAAGAAAGATTGGAGAGATGTCATATTTTGGTGATATAAGAAGTAAATGGGTCATACATGTTTATGCCAATGTTTTTTTGGGGGGAGGGGGAGATGAGGAATGAGGAATGGTACGAATCTGCTGTTCATAAAACTACTACTATTATTTATTTATTTGATGCTTTAAAATAATTTATTTCTTGTGTGATATAATTACAGTATATGAGCATCTTGTTGATTGCACATAATTATAGGTCCAATGTGATTCTTTTTAACATAACAAATCTACTCATTTCAGATTTATATCCTAATTACCTTGAAAATTATATCATGATTTTTCTTTCATTGTGGTTCTTATACTTGTTATTTTCTACTGTCTTATTTTAGCTTGTAAAATGAAACTTTAATTTGCAGGTGAAAGATATCCTCTATCATCTATACAAGACTGCAGTGGGAAATCTTCAGAGACTCGTGCCTAAAGAGATTAGAATAGTCAAGTATCTTATTCGAATTGAGGATCCTGAGGAGCAACTAACTGCCCTCAAAGATGCATTTACACCTGGAGAAGAACTTGAAGGAAAGGATGTGGATAACTTGTACACGTATGTATTAGATGTCAGAGAATATAATAACTCGAGATAGAATTTAGTTACAAACTTGCAATAACTTTTTCTCAACATCATTTTTCAGGACTCCAGAGAAGCTTCACACCTGGATAAAGAGTGTGTTGGATGCTTATCATTTGAGTAGAGAAGGTACCCTCATTAGGGAAGCAAGGGATCTGTTGAATCCAGAAGTCATCCAAAAATTGGAGGTGCTCAAGAAGGTTGTGGAGAGGAACTTCATGTGAATAGGAGCTTAAGGAACATGCTAAAGTGGTTTTCCTATTTTGAAAGGCCAAAAGCATACTCGAGGCATGAGATTCTCGATGTCCACAAATTACAAACCATGGTCTACTGTGGCATTACTGCGAGAGGAAACATGTAGATGTTGGCTAGTGTTTAAGGACCTAAAATTCGTTTTTTAAACAATAGAATAAGAAAAATAGGAAACAAAATAGACAAACTATCATAATTACAGCATCTATGTTAGGCTTATCTTTGTTTTCGGTTACCAATTACAATAGGAAAGGATCCCAGATGAATAGAAGACTTGAGGAACTGAACCTGGCACAGGGTGAGGGTGACAGTTCAAACCAAAGCCTAGGTAGGCCCTTAGTTAAGTCACTTGAAGATAAAATGTACATCCTCACGAATTTGTTCTATTATATTTTTGTGTTACTGAAATGTCATGTTTGTAATTTTAAATCCACTGTTATTTATATGTTGCAGGTCTGAGCGAGTGATCACAATTAGTGGGGATTGTTTGGTTTGTTCTTGGAAACATATTTTTCTTAAAATAGAAACGATGTTTGTTTTGACAACGGTTGTTCTTTTATTTGCTGATATTGTGCGTCTATAATTATTTATTTTTTTCATCAAGAATATGAATTTGGTCTATTACTTTTAGTATAATTTTTTTTTTTATTTACAAAATTTGAATTTGAAATTTTATTATATTGATAAAGTTTAATTTTATACGGACTAATGACTTTTTTTTATAACTATTTTTTTCAAATTTAGATTTGTCATCAACATTTATAAATTTAGATAACATTTAATAGTAACAATAACTTTGTATTGCAATTGTATCGTGTTTGGTGTGAGCCCTGGCCCCTGTGTGCTAGCTATTGTCTTTGAATTTGATTGTATTGGTTTATTTCATTGAGATGAATCATGACAGAAGATCCAAATTTTGCATAGAGGGATTCAAACAAAATTTTTTTTAAAAAAATTCAAAACAATTTTTATAAATCAAAACATCTTTCACTTAAGATTTGGATGAGTTTGTCCATATGACCAAATAAGACTCCAAATGTTTCTAAAGACTTGGATCACTTTTTTAATCTGCCGGTATCGTCCTCGTGATGGCTTATTGGTCATTTAAATCAATTATCTCAAAGTCCATGCACAAACATCATTAAATTTTATTTTCTCAAAATGTTTCAGTGTTGAACCGTGCTACCCATCGAGCATGTTTCAGTTCTTAACGACTTGACTATTACGTTAGGGTAGTTTGTTTAAACTTTAAAAAATAATTATAAAAAAAATGTTTTTTAAAATACTTTTTCAAAAATAAAAAAAGATAAAATTTACTTTTTCAAAATATAAAAAAAAATATTCATCTTAAATAGTCATTTTAGATAAACAGATTAGATAATTAAAAAAAATGTTTATTTTATTTAAAAAATTAAGAAAGAAATTTAAATAACCAGACTCTGTATATGTGGTGAACCAAAAACTTTAAACAAACTCTGTGTGGGCCAAAATGCAGAAGTTATGGGCTTGCCACTTAACAAGCCAGACTTGTGAATGGCATCGTAGAAGTAGAAGGATCATCGTTTCAATTTGAAGTCACATTCAAATTCAGATATTCTATATCAGTTGGGAAATTTGAAATGGCCACAACTTCTCCTTCTTCGACCACCACGCCAAGTGCTGCTGATCTGACGAAGCAGATGAGGACTCATGAAGTCGCCATCGCAGAGCTCAACAACCAGCCTTCTTCCAGAGTAACCTCTTTTTCTTTTCACTTTCTTTCTTTCTAATTGTTTCTAATCATCCAAGCAATTTCGACTTCGAAACTCAAGGGTTACGGTTAGGGTTTATTTTCTATTCATTTTTATGGAAAATGTTTTTTTAGAAATTATGTGTGATTGACTGGTTTTCATATATATGGAAAAGATCATTATCTCTAGGTTCAGTAGTTGAGGTTTTTCCTCCATTATATAACAATTCACATGTATACCTCTATTCTTTCAACTATTTTTTTGTTGCTGTTATTTATTTCTTTATTCTCACGTGCTATGAACCAAAATAATGTAGGCTGTGTATCAGAGAAATGGGAACTTATTTTTTCGCACAACCATCCAAACAGCAACTGCAATGGAGCAGAGTAAGAATTCTTTGCCTATGACACTTTTCTTCTCGCTTCAATCTTCTTTCATGGAAGAAACTAAACTCTAGGGTGTTAAACAATTCTGATATTTTTTATTTCAAAATTTGTGTTGGGTAGAACAACTTGAGTCAGCCAAAGCAAAGTTAAAAGATATGAATTCTTCTTCGTAGTCATATGTTAGAAGCCTGATGGTTTGGGAGTAATGAAGCAGTTGCAACCAGGACATGTTTCACTTGGAAACTTCATTTATAAAGAGCTGCCATGTCTTGAATATGTCAAATGCTTTCACCACAATGATATTGTTCTAGACACCGTACAAAATGAACATTTGGTGAATACATATAGATATTGTACCAATCTTTATGATTTTTGTCTTTGTTCTCAAGTATTATTACTCTTTCTCTTGATTACATATGTACTCAATATATGTTGGCACAAATAGGAAGAAGCTTGACTATTCTACAAAGAGAGAGAGGCATATGAGTAAACTGTAATTGGGTGCTCTACAACATGTAGCTATCCTCATAACGTTGGCACAATTTTAGAAACTGAAATCTGATCACTTTTGTTTACCATATAGGCACTTGACAAATCAAAGACATCAATGAAGTCTCTGTATAACTGCTGCAATACCAAAATACTAAAGTAACCATTTTCCTATGGTTTGGCAATGTTAGTGTCATGGAAAAATACTTAATCAAATATGTGATTTACAATGAAATTTGGGGTGGGGGGGGCGCTAGGTGCTTATAAAAACAAGCCACGTAGGAGGTAACGAACCCTTACCTCAGCAAGAACGCAAGAACAAGATCACGCATGATAGGTAACAGTAAAGGAATTACATGGGAAAAGTATTATCTAAATTTTGAGGATTTAGAAGCTAACATTTTTTGTGTGATATATATATATATATATATTGTGTGTTTCTTTCTTGAACTTTATTTCAATAATTTAAAATAGAGATAAATTGGTCATAATATTTCTCACCCACTAAGGTCACTATTTATTGATCCAGTCAAATAACTTTATTTCAATAATTTAAAATAGAGATAAATTGGTCATAATATTTCTCACCCACTAAGGTCACTATTTATTGATCCAGTCAAATAATGGTCACTTATAAAATTTAAGTGATAAGAATAAGTTGTTGATTTGATATTGCCATATTGGGTTATCTCCTTCCTAAAATAGGTGGATCAATTTTTCATGATGGATGTCTAATATCTATAAAATAGGATAGAGTTTCTAGTCTAAGTTATCGAAACCCCACTCCATCATTGTGACAGTGTTATTGGAAGTATTTTGTGCACGTGTATTTTACTCATGCGTATAAAATCTAGTTTATCTATAAAATAGTAGAGTCCCAAGTCTAACGACATCAAGAAAAATCAATAGCCACTCTATCATTGTGGCAGTGTTCTAGATTGGAAGTATTTTGTGCACGTGTAGTTTAGTCACCCGTGACGTGATCAAGAGATTAATAGTTAAAAAATCATTCTAAATTTGGTATACAAGCCTTTTTAATCTTTGCCCAGCTCTTTTTCATTAGTTTTATGTCATATAAATGATGTTTGATCCAACATACAAGTTGAATGGTACTTTCACGCATAGATTGTTTGTCATGTATCGAGTATGATAGATTTCCATGTGTAAACCATTGGATGTTTCATTTGCTTTCAATGTTACACTCTTATTTATTGTTGCCTTAAGCCCTTTGTGATTTTTATTTGGTGATATTCATATACTAACTTTTTTTTTTGTTTGATTGAGAAATGTTATATAATTCCTTGTACAAATAGCAATTTTGTTGTATAAATTGTTGTTTGAATTGATGTATGAATACCATCAAGTGTGTTTTTAACATTTATCTAGTTTGAATATTATTATTTATGATTCGTAGTAATATGATGATCATTGGGAGTGTATGAATACCATCACTATATTGACCTTCTCTGCCATTGTTTTGTGACCTTTACAACATGGAATTAATGATTAGCATTTAGGATATAAAGATTAAATAATGACATATAAAATGTAATTTATATTTATTTTAACAAGTGATTAATATTTATTTTATTAATAAGTCTCATTTGTATATTTTTTTAATTATTAAATGTAATGTCATGTAAGTAGTGACAAGTTATGGAGCAAAACATTAACAATTAATAGATATTAGATTATTAAGAGGACTAAAATAATATTTTGGACAAAATGTCTGTTTTGAAATTAGGAAATCAAATGTCTAACGTTATTAATTTAAAATAAATGCAAACGTGTAATGTTGTTAATTTAAAATAAATGGATTTTTGAGGTTTTTTATTTATTTAAATTTTGAATTTTGAATAAATTTTATGCAGGATGTGTTATTGTTACAGCTTTATCTCTTATACTTTGTTTTCGGATAGTGGATGAAATCTCAATAATTTGGATTATTAGTAGATAAGATTTGTTAGAAAGTTTAAATTGATTGTAAGTCTAAATTTCATAAATTTGTGAATATTTTAATATTAATTTTTCATCTTCAATTTTAATTTTAATTTGTTTGCAAAGATCCAAATTTTTTTATGTTTTTCACAAAATATTTCTAACAGTAGTATTAAGAGTTTGTTTTTTACGAGTTATGAGTTTGACTGCAAACACTAAATTGAGTGATTTTATGTTCAAGTAATTATTGTGCAAGCATGTCCTCTTTCACCAATTCACCTATAATTTTAATGTTTAATAATGAAAATTATCATATTTGGAGCATCAAGATGAAATTTGTTGGATAATCTCTGAAGCTTATCCACCACCATTAAGAGAAAATTCAACTATTGCACAAATCAATTTATGTGGAAGAGAAGTTGAAAAAAGATAGAGTCTCAGTTTACTAAAATCATGGATTTGGAAACACCTAAACATATGTAGGATGAGATCCAACATGAATTTGAAGGTAGTAGAGTTAAATCTATTAGGTTTTTTTCATTAAAGAAAAAAAAATTGATTAGGGTATTTATCGAATCATATCAATTTGACAAACTCGACAATCTAAATCAAATCAATTAAATTGATTTAATTTTTTTATTTGAGTTCAACCCAAATCAATTAAACTTGATGTTCGGGCATTGAATTTACGCATTTAAGACCTAAACCAAATCAATTAAATTATATATTTTTATTTTTTATTTTTTATTTTTTATTTGGTTGACCATTAATATGTAGTATTTGAAATTCTAAAGTAAATTAAGAAAAGAAACTAAGAGAAGTTATATTACAAATCTATCAATTTAGTTAATTTATGTCAATATATTAATTTAATAATGTTGAAAATTTTATTTATTTTGAGAAAAAAAATTAGTTTTTTAATTTAATTTTTTTTAAATTCATTGGATATTTAATTGCTTGAATTGAATCAATCCAATCAACGTCAAATTGGTTTGATTTGAGTCAAAAAAATTTATGAAATTTGAACCAATCCAAATTAATTAAATTTAATTGATTTGGATTAGATTTTCACTCAAACTCGAATTAACTTGACCTATGAACATCCCTATCATTGATCATTCAATCCATTTAATTTCAAATCCAATCAAATTCAAATATATTTCGGTTTGCATTCGATATGTTTTTGGTTTTTCAAACATAGCTTTAATATTTTCATAGGAAAAAAACTATAATATTTTAATAGGCAAAAATAATTATTAATATTATTAATTAATTAATTATTGATAATGATAATAATAATAATAATATATAAAATTACAAATTAAGATGATATATCGATATCAATATTTAATAACATGATAAAATTACTAACTTAAAAAAAATAAGTAAATTGATAGATTTTTAAAGTACTTAATAGTCAATATATTATTTACCACAATATAGAATCCAAAACAAAAAAAAATTGTTGGATATATAAAGAGAAAGAAAAGTACTCTGTTTGATTAGGATTGCATTGATTTTTTCATTGTTTCGATTCGGTTTATGCAATATACATTAGCATAGATTGAACACCTGTAAGTGTGACAGTAACACAACATCAGTGTGCATATGCAATGACAAAGTAGAAGGATAGAGTGAGATTGCGAAGTATTGTCCATCTTATACAAGAGGGATTTGACGGTAGTGTAGAATTTGGGGTTTGTCGGGGTGGAGGTGAGGAAACATTGAAGGAAGGAGAGGAAAAGGAGACAGAGGAAGGTTGAAGAAGAGACAACAGAGGAAAGGGTCGTGGTTAGGCGTTTAAGCTACGGTAGTGAAGGTGTTTTATTTCGTGCATTGACCAATAGCTTTAACCGATTGAAGGAATGTATTTGTTGTGAATTTTTTGTTTTTGCATTATCCAAAATGATGATGTTGTTGGGTAGCTTGAGATTTGTTGCCTTAATTTATGGTTGCTCCTATGTCCCTTATAATTCTAAATAAACTGAACAGAATTGTGTTGTTCTAATTCTAAATAAACTGAACATTTGTTTGACAATTACAATGAGTTTTGTAGTCTTTGATGAAAAAACTTGATTGTTTTCTTTATATTTGATGAGCCAAACACAAGTTGGTTTTAAGTGTTTACAAGTAATCAAATTTGATAGTTGTCTTGCGGTAACTTGCTTGTAAGAAAGATCTTCTGATTCTCACATTTTAATAGTGGTAACTTGTTTTCCACTTAAAAGCTCCTCCTCTCTGAGTATACAGTTGAATATTTGGACTATATATTATTTTTTTTGCACTATGGTATATGTACAGCAGCAGTTGTCGTCGTTGAGGTTGCCTTTATTTTTTATGTTGACCTCTATGATCTTAGATTGTAACATATATTCCTTCTATATTTTGGTAGTAATCTGCATACTATCATATGACTATGCAAATTTGTTGATGACACATTTGATAATATATAGTGCCTTTTGACCTTTATATAGTCGTACATATTTATTGATGAAAAGAAAACTAATTAGTATAGTATTTTGATGATATGCAAAGTCATAAGGACAATTACTCAGACTTTATTAAAAGGAAAATATATCAAAATTTTATTAGGGATTTATTTTACTATAAAACTTGAATGTTAAACACGGTAGCATCATCTTCTATGAAGGTTCTATTTGATGTAGTTCCAGACATAAAATTCCATAAACCCATTGAATTGATCAATATGTAGCCAATTGAAGTTTGAAGGCCAGTAGGGGTATTTTAAAATGTTGAACACAACTATATGAGAACTGAAATTGGAAAAATTAATAATTCGTCTGAAGTCAGCTGAACTGAAAAATAGTTCACACAAACTAAACTGTATTGTTTTTTTTTTTCACCAACAGTTTTCTCAAATTTAAACTGTATTAAACTAAATTATTATTTTAATGATAAATATTAAAAAATATTTGGAGATTTTTTTACCTCTTTGAAAATAGTTCAATCTAGTTCTCCTTGGCGGCTCATAGAATCATCTTCAATTCTTCATAGATATTACCCAAGTGGCTGATTGTGTTGAGTTTATTTGGTAATTAGGTATTATTCTAGACACATGTAACAG